ACCCCCCCCCCCCAATGTATATCAAAATTTCCTCTTATAAGGATACCAGATTGGATTAGGCCCACCCAAACAGGCTCATTTTAACTTAAATCACCTCTTTGAAGGCCCCATCTCCAAATATAGCCACATTCTGAGGGTATGTGTGGGGGCTAGAACTTAGGGATTTGGGGGGTAGGGATAATGTGTATAGGTATTTACAAAATGTATAATTTTGGTACTTGAATAGATTTAACTAATACCTTAGTGTATTTTTAAACTTTTAAGCATCTTTTCAAGTACTTTTCAAGTATTTTCAGATAAATATTTAAGGATTAGATTAGTTGGCATTCTAGAGGTCTAGTGTTGAGCAGCTAAAATGATCAAAGGAAAAGGTCTTCATGTGTGTAGACAGGCTGACAGTAATTCTTCACACCACGACTTAAAGGGAATCTATGGAAATAAGGGTTAATATACCAAACATGGTACTGAAATGTGTTTAAGAATAAAACCTGACTAAATAGCTTTGTCCTTCAATGAAGCAACCACTAACTGATGGAAAAGCTCTTGAACCAGAAGCAAAGGGTAGCTGAAAATCTGATTCTTTTGAAGAAAAAAAAGATGCTTTAATTGGCTGGTCTTACCTATCTATACAAAGATGAAAAGTATGGGAAAAACAAGAGTTGGGGATCAAAGCAGGTGGTGCAGGAGTGGTGGCAATAGCTGTGGAGCCCCCAAAGCAAGCAGAACTGTGGTTTGGGGAGGGGCCTGTTACAGCGCTATGCTTGCCACTGGGGGTTTGGGCCATCTGAGACAGTGCGTGCTTCCACGCTGTCTGTGAATGTACAGACCAAGTTCAGTGTTGAAGACCAACTATGACCTCAGAGAATGGACAAATGTACTTTTGACCAATGAAAACGATTTCAGGAGGCTGTGTGGAAGATGGAAAGGTACTTCATCAATGGGTTACTTCTAGTTTTGTCACCTCCTTCACCCTTGTGAAAAATTCCCTAGTCGAAGTTAAAACATGTCTTAAAGAAAACCTTGCTTTACGTTTCTATAAAAACTTGTGTAAGCTTTCACTGTCCTATGACACTGACGCCAGTTCTCACACAATACCAGTGGCTTGTGGGGCAGTGCAGTGTTAAGTAGAAAAATGGACCTGTGGGTTCTGAGAAGTCACCACTGTGGCCTGTCAACTGGGAGGTACTGTTGTGACTGCAGAAAAAGAACAGGTGTATCGGGCAGAGCACAGATCGATGGTCTCTGCACTCGTGGACAGCGGGGCAACAGTGCAGCCTCTAGAAGGACAGAGGACAAAACCAGATTGGTGCGTTTTATTTGGATCTCTGGAAGTGCTAAGATTACAAATTTAATACCTATGCTCAGTGAAGCCTGATGCCTGTGGGGAACCATGAGCCCTGGCAAATGCCCAGGGTGCTACTGATGTCCCTCCACTGCTCTTGTATTCCGGAACCTTCAGTAACGCTACCTACTACCAGATCTATGCTTTACCGACTCGCCAGTCCTGGTTCTGTCCCATCAGCTGTCCAATCCCCATGCCTAGTGCTGCTTTTTTCCCACACCTTTGTGCCCAGCATGCTTTCCCTGTGCAGCCCACCCACCAGCTCCTACGCTCATCACTGGACTTGCCTTGGAGCTCCTTTAAAGATGCAGGCATACATGAAATTTGGTACTTAATTACAGTAACGTACTCATGCAGGGCTCTTGTTACATGTTCCCATCTCACCCTCACAAGCCTAGAGAAAAGGGTCGCTGTTTGCAGGGCACTGCCGTTGTGTGGCCGGGCCAGGACCCATCGATCTCCTGGCTGCTTGCATCGCAGCCCTCTGTGCTACATGGTCATTGAGGGCAGAGCAAACTACATAAAACAGTATGTGTTGCCCTGAATACCCAGTGGGGAGTGTGCAGGAGGCAGCTGATCGATGTTTCTCTCTCATCGATGTTTCTGGCTCTCTATCCCTCTCCCTTTCTCTCTGTAGAAAATCAATAAAATATAATAAAAAAATAAAACAAATGAACAAAAACCAATATGTGTTTGGGTCTCTCCAATGAGCATGGCTGAAATGACTCCTAGATTTCTAGCTAAATTTCTGCTCCAAAGCTCTGGCACCTAATTTGAGATGATCCAGGTTCTGTAAATTGGGTTAAAATATAAACTAGTTTGCAGACTTTCGAAATAAAACTAAAATGGTATTGGTGGCAGGGTGAGCAGCACTTAAAAAATTCGATATTAAATTCCCACAATCTTGGACAAACATCTTTATTTAGTAAATCAAATAAATAGGGTAAAAAAATCATAGTAGCAACTTCACACAAAGATACAAGAACAAACTTACAATTACTTGCTCAAGTTAATCAGAATGGAAGAAAATTCTTCAAGTGCTCACAAGTAGCACGGAAAATATGTGCTTATATTACTTGCTTTTTGATCGACATCTACTTGTTTACAGTAAGGTCCCACACTCCTTACAGTAAAATAGCCCACTCCCGCCCCCTCTGGTGCACAGCCTAAAAGGCTAGGAGTGCAAATGTAAATGTAATACAAGCTTTTCTGTCTTTACAACTTGAAAATCGTCTTCCAGCTTTTTACTAATACAGATTATCAACAAGTTCATTAAATCTTTAGCATACTAAGGGAAAGGAAAGAACAGAACACAACCCTGCACTTTGGGCCCAGTCACCCATTTTACAGACATGGATCCCGGATTTCAGAATGACAGCAGGATCACTGTCCCATCCGGACAGCGGCAGGTACATGGCACTGGGCACTGCACATGCTGTTTACTTCAGCTTCTTGGGCAGGGCTATGCACAGTGCCTATACATTTTTATATCATCTCTAGATGTATGGGTAAGCCCATGTATGTCCTACCAACTTTATTCCTCACTGCAGATGCTTTAGTTTTACATCTACCAAATCTTGACAATGACATTTGGTTCTGGATTGTTACATCAAGATCAAGCTATATGAATGAGGAAAGTCAAAAGCTTATTCTCAGATTTTCAAAGATGTTTCAAGGATATTGATAAAGAAATCCGTATAAATAACTGTTCAGAAGCAAATATTAATCTACTAGGGGCCCAGTGCACGGGATTTGTGCACTGGTCAGGGGTATGGCCTGCGGGGATCAGCCCACCGTGGGAGCGCACTGACCGCCAGGGGGCAGTTCCTCTGTTGAGCATCTGCCTCCTGGTGGTCAATACGTGTCATAGCGACTGGTCGACTGGTCATTCTGCCATTCGGTCACTGGACTTTTATTATATAGGATTGATAATTCTAAGAAACTGTACTATTTTTATCTATAAGGAATTTCACTAGGCTTAAATAAATTAACACTACAAGTAAAACTTTCCCAGGCTATTTAATCAAGTAACTTACAATGTACACATTCCTGAGTATATTCCATTGTAGCGACATTGTTTATTTCCGAATTTTTCTGCGCTTAGCTTAAGAGGTGTTTCTTTCCAAGAAACTGAACTTTTCTGTCAAATGCACTGGATCGAATAGGAGAATTTGGTTCATAAAATGGATTCATTGCAAACTAGGAAAGAAGAAAGTATTAGTGAGTTTGTCAGAGTAAAAAGACTGACAAATCATGAGTCTCTAAATTATTTTGAGCTTTAAATTAAAACACATTCAAAACAAGTCAGAAGATCACATTTTTAAGTTTCCATAAACATGTTCTATTGTTAAATAGTAACTTCCCCTTAAGGAAATTTCTTTCTCGGTGTTATAGCTTTGAGCAGTACCTGTGGTGAAACGATGGTGGTATGATAAGTGTTGCCTATGTAAGCAAAATTAACTCAGGATTCACCCTGTGTGTGAATTACTAATCTTATATTCATTGTAAACATATGAATTAATCTGTAAGACCTACATAAAATACAAATGAAAAATGTGCCATATCATGGGTCGCTAAGTTAAGAAAAAGTTACACCACACTGATTAAAAACTACTCTTGTGTGGTAATTTTTTAATAATCAGGTTTTTAATACTCTCCTTTAACACAAGGCTAAGTGACCAGTTTCTCAGATAATGCAACAAATGTATCATAACAGTCAGAGAAAATTATTAATAACAAATGGAATCACTAATGAGGAAAGGAGTTAGCAATTTTTATACCTTAATCACTTTGTCTACCTTTATAAAAGGACTAGATATTCTCACTTGCTAGTGCTGACTAGGAATACTGTTAGCTGTAGTGATATGCAAAAACCTTGTTCAAACACAGAATATTTAAATTATTAAGAAATACTGTTGTTAGCACTGAAGTTTAACCACTGATGTCCTATTATTTTATTTTTTTCCAATTAAATATCAAGAAATGCGGGTGGCACCAATCTCCTTGGGTGACTATTTGATAATATATGAATCACTTTCTGCTGGTTTATGATCGGTATTCATTGCACTGAAACGTATTTGTAAAGTAGATGGAAAGCATTTTAGATTGAAATTATAAAGCAATTTCTCTTATGGAGAATACTTCCTTCCCTCTCTTTAGGGTTCCCTAGTAAATCAACTATATGCACCAAAAGAGGGAGAATGAAGTAGATTTTAAAATAACCACAAGCCCTGGCCGGTGTTTCTCGGTGGTTAGAGCATCAGCCTGTGGAATGAAAAGGGTCATGGGTTCAATCCCGGTCAAGGGCATGTGACTGGGTTGCAGGCTCTGTTCCCAGCCCCCGATGGGGCGTGTGTGGGAGGCAACCAATTGATGTGTCTCTGTCTGTCTCTCCCCTCCTACTCGCTCTAAAAAAAAATCAATGGGAAAAATATCCTTGGCTGAGGATTAACGACAACAAAATAACTATGAGTTCTTTTCCTAAATACATGTTAATCTGGTGAAGACTTGCCTGATGAGGGAGCTGCCAGGGATGGTCTGACTGAGGGAGAGCTGCTCTGAGATGAAAACTACTACAAGGAAGTCACTTTGACAGGCCAGTTCCCTGCCGTTTGAATCTCTTTTATCAGTTTTAAAAAGTTGTAGAACATACATACCTTTATGTATAGTTCATAGACATCCGTAAAGAAGTTCTTAATTCCATCTTCTTGTCTTACATCATGAAGCATAATAAATCTCATATGTGAAATAATTAAGGTGTAATCTTAGAAATGTAAAATGAAAAGCAATAGTTCAAAGTTAGGTTAGTTTTTACCTTAAAGAGAACATAATCTTTTAAAGTTAAAAAATAAAAGTAAAACCACCCTTGAGAGGGTTCAGATAAACCTTAGTTTTATATACCAGACTTGGTTTTAAAATGATTTAAACAAAATGTATTTTTTCCCTGAAAAAAATAAAAGTAGCTACGTAAATGGCAATTTTCACCTGACACTTTAAAGTTCATCAACTTATCCTGGCATCTGTGTCCCATGTTCTAGTTGGTTACCCCAACCTTTAGTTAGATGTCTTTATTAAGAAGGTAAGGATATGACCTGCAGTAACAAATGCTGAAACAAACCACTCATTGAACTTGTCCACAGTTTTCAAGTACATGTTGTTTGACAGCCACATATTCTCATCCACCAGGTCAAGGGCAGCATGAGCTATGAACTGGTTCAGATGACGATGGTCGTCCTAGATGACAGTGTGAACAGCACCAGGTTAACAGTTCCATATAGCATCAAGACAGCCAACATTTCAATCTGTAAATCCTACACAGTTCTTCTTGCGGGGGGACACTTTCTTTTTCTAAAAAAGTATATTTTTATTGATTTCAGAGAGGAAGGGAGCAAGAGATAGAAACACCAATGATGAGAGAGAATCATTGATCGGCTGCCTAATGCACGCCCCACACTGGAGGTCAAGCCTGCAACCTGGGCATGTGCTCTGACCAGAATCAAACCGTGACTTCCTGGTTCATAGGTTGACACTCAACCACTGAGCCATGCCAGCTGGGCTACTTTTAAATTTGGTATCTAAAATTCAATAAATAGAAATAGCCAATTATAATATACTAATTATAATATTAATAAAATGTGTTCAAGAAACTAAAAAAATTTAATTTTGCAAGAAGGAAGCTACCAGTTTCCGTAACCTTTTAAGCATGTGGGGGGAAAAATACTCTGTTGGAAAACAAATAGATCCTCCTTTCAAGAAGCCTGTA